GCTTCACCAGCTAAAAGGAAAAGAAGAGAATGGAGGTCTTGGCCCTGCATCTGGGCATGACATGTTCCCAGGTATGCTAAGAGGACCAAGGGCACCCCTAGCTAAGGGCAGGAACCAGCCTTGCACGTAGTAGAGGCAAGTGGGTTTCCCTACTGCCTCAGCACTTCCTTAGCATGAATGAGTCAGAATGAACTTCAGATGTTTAATTGCAACTGCCTCTGCTCTGCCTTTGCCAACTGTGGACCACATTGACACTGATGTATGCAAACTCTAGTTACTTTTCTTGGTGGTTCTGCTGGAAGATCTCCAAACCTCCACATGCTGGCTGTATCACGCTAAGTGTTAATCAGTCACCCCAGACTCTCAAGTAGCAGCTATCATGGCATCATCCTTAGTTACACGACTGATTCATTGCTATTTTACTGCATTTAGCAGGCATGTATGTAACATGAAGAACATGATCCTTCCAGCAAATGTCAGCGCAGAGTAGAGCTGTACGCTTTCAAGAGCTTTATCACTCTGTCCACATGCTGTTAGTTTATATTCTGTTTTCCGTCACTGCTTCCTTGATGTTACCCTGGAGATAGGGGAACCGTTGCCTGGAGTGCTCTGAGTTGTTTCTCATGCTATTGTATGATGAAGGGTGATACAGAAATCAAGTGATGCCATTAAATGGCATATGGTGGCTCAGAGTGCTCTGAAATAAAGTTCTCAATAGATTCATTAGAAGAGTAGTGGCTTTAGTAGGCAGCAATAAGCAAGACTCTCAGCTTACCTTTCATTTTAAATCTCTGCAAATCCTACTAACAATCCCAGAATGAGAGACGTCAGTGTTTTTCTTCCTCAAGTTTCCAGTATTCTTTCATTCATGGAACTATCTTTCCTCCTTTTTGTCCCTCTTGTTCCTGGAACTTCTCTCTTTCTTTCTGCCAGCTATCACCTCTCCCCCTCAAATACCAGTATGTCTGTTTTTTCACTCAGGCTTGTCTTTCCTCAGCTTCCCTGCCAGCATACCCAGATCTCTCTGTAGAACCCCATCCTCTTTCCATGGAAATAGCATTTCAAGCCTGTAATGTAATATGGAGAGTCAGGCCTTTGCTTAAGGACTATTTGATAGAATCATTTGTGTTGGAAGGGACCCTTGGAATGCCATCTGGTCCAACTCTGCCCTGCAATGAACAGGGACACCTACAGCTTGATCAAGGTGCTCAGATCCCTGTCCATCCTGACCTTGAGTATCTCCAGGAATGGGGCATCCACCACCTCTCTGGACAACCTGTGGCAGAGCTGGTTTTTATTTATTTTTTTTCAGTAAACATTCTTGATCCTGTTTTCTCAGCTTGGGCTTTGTCCAGCTTTCCATGTCTGCTTTTTGTTTGATGCTGTCACTGATCTGCTACAGCGATAGAGCCTGTGGTTTTGTTCTCTGACTTGCTACTTACCTGGCTCAGCAAGGAGGGTGTAGGTGGGCACGCATTCAAAACACGGGTGATAGCTTACTGCTGTTTTGTAACATCTCATTAGCTGGTTTAGTGTAACAGAGGCTCTTGCTGCTAGCACTAAGTGACAGTAACCTGGCTGGAGGCAGGCAGGTGTTGCTGGAGAGCAGGGCACAGCTGCTACAGGCAGGCATGTAGCTGAAGCTTGTTTTATGCCTTTGGCTGCTTATGACCAGCCATGAATAACTGCACCCGCATTAGTCATGATGCAATGGCCTGGAAGAAGTCGTTAATATTTTAGGTGCCTCAGGCTTGTTGAAGGCTTTAGGCAAAAACCTGAGTAAAATCAAATGGCTGACTAACAACACAGTTACATGAGAAAACTGCTCTTTAAATGCCACCCTCCAGTCTTGGAGATGGCAGGGGCTGCAGCAACATGTCAGCAGCTTGGCAGTTTTCTTCATACAGCTGTGCCTCTGCCACAAGCTCCTCCTTTCCCCAGGCCCCCTGAGGATGCGGCCGTGGTGCTCAGTGTCCCTCTGCCTGAGTGAAGCATGCACTTTTCTATTACTTCTGTCAGAGCTGAAGCTAAGGTCCAGCAGCTGCATGTGCTCCCTGTCTGCAGTGACACAGCTGGGCAGTACTCACCAAAGTTTACAAAGCCAGGTAACTTCATGCTGAAAACAAAGCTGCTGAGCTAGTTCTGCAGAACCTTAGTTAGTGACATGTGTGCACAGGGACAGGTATTGCATAGTCTGGTAGGGGAAGAGGAACTGAAGTCTTAGGAGCATGGGCCCAAGGCTAGCAATGCAGCGTTGCTGGACTAGAGCTGGGGGGAAGCCTTCTCTGCAAGGATGATCTTGGTGTAGGTTGTCTTCTGCTCTCAGGTGATCTTTATCCAGCTGCACAAACACTAGAATGCTACATTAAAATGAGGGTGAGATAGGAACAAGCAATAAAAGACATGCTTATGGAAGGGGTCTCCAATGCACAAAAGGATTAAGTGTGTCTTATAAAGTCATTAGTTTTTTTTTTCCCCTTGAAAGAAGTAACGTGTACGTGACCCACAGGAGTTTCTGAAGGCCACTGGGCACATCAACACTCACTTTGAGGTCACTCCCTTACAGCTAGGAGCTATGGCTAATGAGAGGGGCAGAGCGCAACACTAACCAGTATGGACCTCAGTACCAGTGTAAGACCTGGGAAAATGCAAATCATCTGTAATGGAACTGATCTTATCAGTCTATCAGCTACAAATGCAAGCATGGAAGAAAAAATCCTGGTTCAGCTCCTGAAACTGATGAACTAGAATAGTGCTATTTTATTTCATGCAGTTGCACTGAGTAATGAAGCTTAGGCTATGTGCATAGGAGCTTAATGAAAAATATCTTCTAGATTTGGAAAACTGGAAATTTAATTCATCAACTGTATTTCTGGCTTCAGGGTTAGCTGCCCTTTCCACCTGACTATGGTTATACCACAACCAAATGCCTGTTCTGTAGTACTAACAGCATGACTGAGCAAATGGTATTTGCAGAAATTAAGCTATCTAGCAGTAGCAAAACTTGTGAATCTACGCCCAAGGTGCTAAGAAGAATGTGTTTTAGGAAAACCAAGGACCTAAACAAAACTTACAGGGTAAACATGTATTTCACAAGCATGCTCTGACAATATAGTATTTATACCTCTAACAGGTATTTCAGCTACCAGAGCTTTAGTTGTCTGCTGCAGATATATATCAGTCACACTCATGAAAGTTAAGAAAATTAACGAAATTTTATTGGCAAAAATCAAGTTGAACGTGACCTAAGTAATTAAATGGAAGTCAGCCTCAGTTTAGTTTATCAAAATACTTCAGTTTTCCAGCTGGATCTGGAATTATCTGCACAAGAAAGAAAATGAAAATGTTAGTCTAAAAACAAAACTATGCAAATGCAAAAACTTGTGAATCCAGAACAGTACAATACTTCAAAATATCATAGAATGGTTGATTGAAAGGGACCTTAAAGATTACTCAGATCAGAGACCTGTGGTTTGGATAAGGACATTTTCCACTAGATCAGGTTGTCCAAAACCCCACGCACCCTGGTCATGAGTGCCTCCAAGGGATGGGACATTTCTGGGCACCCTCTTCCAGTGCCTCACCACCCTCTGAGTAAATTTCTTCTTAATGTCTAATCTAAATCTCCCCTCTTTGAGTTTAAAACCATTCCCCCTTGTCCTGTCACTACATCCTGTTGTAAGAAGCCTCTCCAGCTTTCCTCTAAGCCTTCTTTTGTACTGGAAGGCCACAATGAGGTTTCCCTGGAGCTTTCTCTTCTCCAGGCTGAACAAGCCTAGCTCCCTCAACCCAATCTCTCTAGGAGACGTGCTCCAGCCTTCTGATCATCCTTGTGACCTCCTCTGGACTTGCTGTTGATACAGCCCAGGATATGTTGCCTTTCTGGGCTACAAATGCACAGTGCCAGTTCATGTTTTTCATCAACCAATAAGCCCCAAATCCTTCTCCTCAGGGCTGCTCTTAATCCATTCTCTGTCCAGACTGTATCTGTGCTTGGAATGGCCCACATGCAGAACCTTGCACGTGGCCTTGCTGAACTGCGTGAGGTTCACACGTGCCCAGCTCTCAAACCTATCAAGGTCCCTCTGGCTGGCAGCCCTCCCCTCCAGTATCATGACTGCACCATGCAGGTTGGTGTCATCAGCAACTTGCAGAGGGTGCACTCAGTCCCATATCCATTGAGCCACTGACTGCAACTCTACAAGTGTGACCATCCGGGCAGTTCCTTATCCATCAAACCCATTTATCTCAATTTCAGAGACAAGGACGTTGTGTGAGACAGTATCAAATGCTCTGCATGAGCTCAGGTAGATGACATCAGCTTCTCTTCCCTTATCCAGCAATACTGTAATCTCACCACAGGAAGCCAAATTTTTCAGGCATTGTTTGCTCTTAGTGAAGCCATGCTGACTGTCACTAATCACCTCCTTGTTTTCCATGCATCTTATCACAGCTTCCAGGAAGATCTGCTTCATGATCTTGCTGGCCATAGAGGGGAGAGACTGACTGCTCTGTACTTCCCTGTCTTCCTTTTCCCTTCTTAAAGATGGGAGATATGTTTCCTCTTTTTCAGACAGCAGGTACTTTCACTGGACTGCCCCAACATCTCAAATATGATGCATAGTGGCTTAGCAACTTTATCATCCAGTTCCTTTAGGACCTGCAGATGCATCTCATCAGGATGCAAAGCCAACCCACAATAACCGCTGGAGAGTAATTTATCATTTGACCTGATAATAGATTACTGTTCATCACTAAATATACTTAATGGGAGTAGCAAAACTAGTTAATTAATTGGGGAAGAGAGAGTGCAGCCTACCAATGGAAGCACTTTGGCAGTTGAAAGCAGATACCTTTATGCTCCTTACCCCAGAAGCAAGATATTTTAATAAATTAGTTTCTATAATCAAGTGCCTTAGAATTTACTTACAGTTCTTCCCTTGGCCACCACACTCTCATGGTTTCCTCTGGTTTGATCTAATTAAATCAAACACATTTACAAGGCAAGGCTACATCTTCGAGAAAGTATCTGAGCTACCCTGCTATTTAAATTATCTGCATATTTTGCAGAGAGGAGAAAGACAACTGCTTATGTGGCAGCTTTAAAATAGTACTACTGGACCTATTCTCAGCATTTTGATAGGCTTTAGAAAATATGTTAATGTTGTATTATTTAGGTAACCTGTGGCTAGGGCAGGCAGAACTCTGCAGTGCCAGAACGTGTCTTTCTGTTAGACCAGCCAGCCCTCCTTCACCTTACAATTTTAAAATCCAGCTGCACCCACTGAGACTGTCCTCTGCTAGCTGCAAAGAGGTGACTCATAGACTGCAGTCATCAATGAAGATTTTCACATGCAGTAAAGAAACATTCCTCTGTTTTTATTATCAGTTAAAAATGCTCACTACTCTCCGTATTTACAGGCTACTGGGACCCGCCTTCAGTTGAGACAGCTCTTAAGCAACAGTGCTCGGTCATCACCAAATGGTTGAAAAGAAAGCCACATTCTCAAATTAACCACAGTGATCTCATGTGACCTAAGCAGCTCAGTCCTCTAGTAAAAGCTTCATTATCCTGCTGAAGCTTGATCCAAGCCCAGAGAACACAAACAAGTTCAATGGGTGTTCATCTGAACCCCAGCTCTTCTGCTTATGTTAACACGTGGGTGAGTATCAACAAATGCACAAGAGCTTTTGTGTAACAAAGCAGTGCTCTCTGCTGGAGATGTGATAGTGGCACACTGGCTCTACCAGATTCTAAAGCAGATTGTGAACTCGCATCCTTTTTCATGGCAGTGCCTAGGATCCACAGAACCAAGAATTTACATGGCCATATAACTGAGAAGACAGGACAGAATCAACTTAATCTTAACCTTTCAACTTCCACTCAAGCTTTAACTACAATAATGTGAACTGATTCCTATCATCTTCTTCAGAGTTGCAAAGATTCTGGATTTGACTTTAGAGGAAATTATCTTGGTGTTTCCTAATAGGATATGCATTTAAATATGAACAGTGACTTACTGTTTCACTGCCAGGTTTCCAACCAGCAGGGCAAACTGGAGGAAAAAGAAAAGAAAGACAAAGTTTGTACAAGTATTTTCACACATGCTTCCTTTTCTGAATTTCCTTCATGTTCTCTTCCCGAACTTGAAGCAGAACACCACTGAAGTGTCAGAAACAAGGATCTACAAACAACTGATATGCAGTCTTCTTTATAAATGGGATGCTGTCAGTAACACAGTTCATAATTGGTACCACATAGCACTTCTGTTAACTGAAAACTGTCCCTCTCTGGATGGATGCCTGCAGCTTGGTTTAATTCTAGTGCTGTTTTAGGCAATGCACAGCATCTGAAAATGAACACCCGTTCTGTTTAAACACAGAAGTTTCATGATAAAGTTCAGGTGACTACATACCTATCTACCTTTCTTTAAAATGGAGCAATGGGATGACAGCACATAGTTAACATGCAACGTGACTAAAAGCTCTGTGGCCATCTGAACAGTTTATGTTCCAAATTGAAACTCATCTGTTGTCATGCTTCAGCCACTGTCATTATGCCTTACTACACTGCTTTAAGTGCTCTGTCAGATTAAATACATCCAATGCAATTCAGGAATTGCAAAGAACTTTTCCTCCTATTCTGTGCATCAGATTCAGTAGAAGCACTAGGGAGACTTTGTAACTAAGAAAGGGAGACAACTTCCTCACTCGGATACAAATATCCTAAGTGCCAGCATTTAGCTTTATGAATTCTGTATACCAAAACATAATGATGATTTGTACCTTTGGATAAAGGTACATTTAAATACTAAAAAACACCAAACCCACACCTGAGTTGAAATGGAAGTTAAAGTGCTGAACACATACATTAGCAGTTAAATAAACATATTTAAACAGACACATTAACTTGAATATTTAAAAAACAACAACATGACAAGTTCATCGTATGCATGAATTGCAGCGAGGAAATATAGCCATACTTGAGACAAAGTTATAACAAGCCAGTGAAACATTACTTGTCAGTGGAAAATTATCACATAGTGCTTATAAAGAATACGGCAATGGCAGCATAACTTTCACAGCATAATTGTGTTTCTTGACAGTTATTTGTCACACATCATCCACAAATGACAGAGGACAAGGACTACCTGCATCTTCATTCTTTCAGGATATCAAAGCATACTGAAATACTTGCCCTGATTCTTCAGGACACTGTATTTTACACTGCTTTGTCCTTTTGACAGGTAGATAATGCCTCTATTCAGACCGGGGAATGCCTTAGAATCAGAATCGTTTTGAGTTGGAAGCTCACGTAGTCCAACTCCCCTGCCATGAACAGGGACACCTACAGCTACATGAGGTGCTCAGAGCTGTGTCCAGCCAGAGATTATTGTATCAGAACCATCAAACCACTCCATTCACTTGATAAGGCTAATCTCTAATGCTACTGAGTACTTAAAAAAAAAAAAATCTATAAATACAACTTCTGGTCTAAGTAAAACAATCTTCAACATGAAAATATTTAAGAGAGCACCTTCTCCATGTTTGTCTGTGTACTGGAATGCTTGTACCAAACGCAGCGTTTCGTCCACTGATCTCCCCACAGGAAGGTCGTTCATGGTGATCTGTCGAAGGATTCTCTTATCGTCAATTATGAAAAGGCCTCTGTAACAAACAAGTTCTTTTTTTTTTTTAAATGAAACAAAACTAATTGCCTCACTGTGTTCACATCCTATCTTATGTCTGCTGGATGGGGAGAAATTTTGTCTCTGCAGGCACTACATGATACCTATTTCCTTAGGATACTACTAACCCACTGGTCTACCTGGGCTATGGGATGAGGGCAAGTTAAAAAACAAGGAAAATACACTTCTATGCAAAACATACAAGTAAACGATGGCAAGCCCAACCAGCAGATGATGCAGATGCTATGGTGTCAGGTGGATCCCAGAGGTTTACAAAAGACCTGCCTCTTGGGGCTGTTAGTTAGCAGTATTCTTGACTCCAGCTGAACTTGGAAGTCCCTGAGTAATAACAATTCAGAGGAATTCTCACCATGTGCTTGCCTTGCCCTCGCATCTGCTGGCTGTAATGCAGGGTTATCAACCATGCTCTCTGTTCTGACTCATTACAGCTTGTTTTTGTATGTTCTTATTTCAGCCCTGGGTATGAATTGTTAGGCAAAAAATGCTCTTGCTCTGCAACAGTGAAACATTTTGGTTTTGAGTAGTTTGTCAAAGGAGTACACCAACATCTATGGGGGATTACTATGACCTCGCTCAGACTGCTAAGTACTCATATGCTTTCAAGCAGTAAAGGAAGGCTTCATATAAAAGTTCCTTAGCATATGTTACTTTTTTAAAGGATAAATAAGCAACAAGATGTGTTGTTAGAATATTTAAACTGTTTACATGAGAAGGTAAGACCTTTTGTATGCACATACTGCAGGATTGCTAACAAGCCATAAAGAAGAGCTCAGAGTGCTAGTAGTGTTAGATGAGATGTGCTATTTTGTACAAAAAAATATGAGCCACTTCAATATTAATCTATAGAGCTCAATGGATAGCATAAAAGAGAAATGTCAGTGTATCTTTTAGATATGAATTAGCAAGCAGTAGTTCATCAAGACAAAATGAACAGTAACCAAGTGGAATACCTAAGTGTGTGTCCTTGATCTTCCAGATATACACCATAGTCCTTGGAAATCTGGTGTGTTAAATCTGAAAGAAGTGGAATCTTCATTGGTCCGAGTCCTCCTTGTTTTCGAGGAGTATTAATCCTTTGAAAGTAATTAGATACAAATGCATTATTCATAATGATTTCTGTTCTTTACACAAAACTAGAAGCCAAAAGCCATTATAGTACTGACAGAAGAATTCAGTGCAAGTGACATTTTTTCGTTTTGCACACCAGGAAAGTGAATGCTGTCTCTGGTTCCAGCGACGTGTACAGTAGCTCTTCTGCAGTGTTTGGCCACATCGATTAACAGTGACCTCTTTCTTATCAGTCATATTTGTTTTATACTAACATACCTACAACTGGGAGAGCGTACCTCATTTTTATTCATTTTAGCATCTGTATCTCATTTTTAGTATTTGAAGAATTTTGGACTGGGATAGGGCACATTTCAAACAATGCACATCAACAAGCTTCAAAGATTAAGATACCTTCACACAAGAGAGTTAACACGTTTTATCACTGAAAAGCAATTCTAACATTTGTATCAATAACATCATGCTGTTACACATTATGATATACCTACACAATCTATAAATCTGGGGACATGGTTCCTCAGCTCAGATGGACCCACAAATAACTATAAGCAAAAGACAAGGATAAGATACGTACCATGCTAAGTGAGTGAACTTGGAGTCCACGGAACATGCTACTACTTCGGTATTTATGGCTCTGAATTCCTCAATTCTGTCACTGAAGGCGATTATTTCGGTTGGACATACAAATGTGCTAGGTAATTTTAAACAAAATAAAGTCATATTTTCATGATATGTTCAGTAAGTTCTCTGTTTAACATACCAATAAGCAGCCTCGTCAAAGCACTTACATTTTTACATCAAATAATGGAAAGTAGTGGCTATATCAGAAATTATTTCAGCTTCCACATAATTTTTTCCTACTTCTTTAAGTATTTAGCAAAATGCTGCCTGCAAGTTTCACAGTCTGATCCTAGCTTGGTTCCAAATGCTTTATTACTGATAGTTATAAACCCACGGTTAGTTTGCAGTCTAGATAGAACTGTTTTTACAGACTTTCTGAATATTAACTGGTTGCATTTAAGCACAATATGCCAAGTTTTTCACAAGATCATACTGGTAACTTCTTGTTCAATGGAAAACACTATCCCTCAGTGTCCTACATATACTCTGGAAAATACAAATGGGATGCTGCCCTCTGTTTGCAGCAGTGATGTACAGCATAATACAGAATGCTGAGGTTGCTCTACTGGGTACAAGAGACTGACGATTAATCTTTTAAATTAAAACACAAATCAGCAGACACACCTAGTACAACAAGCATCGTGCTTTAGTTTTATCAGTGCACAATGATAATATAATATGATGGCAAAGAGAGTATTTTCTCCTACTGCTCTCTTTTTCTACCTCAAACCCTTCCCAAATAAAACAAAACAGAAATAAAAGAGAAAAATGAAGGAATTAGATGTTTTGTGTAGGAGATCTCAATGTTGCTTTGTCTACTCATGTCATACTTACAAGTCAAGAGGATAGAAGAAGAAGACAAGATATTTTCCTTCATAATCTGTTAGTTTCAGCTCTTTAAACTCTCCATTAATGACTGCTGTTCCTTCCCAGTAAGGCGCTGGCTTCGAGACTGAAATATGAAGGACATTCAAATTAAAGTCAGAGTACAAAGCACGTGTTCAAAGCAAGCTGCTCATTAGCTCGTGTACAAGGACAACTGCTGTCCTTTTGCTTGAAAAACAACCTACTGCACACAGTCACAAAATCAACCTTTCTTACTAGTTTGCAAGGGTCAAAGCAGCAGAGGTAACAGAACAGTGAAGGAATCTGCATTTTAGTATGCATGGAAAGCAGCTGATGACAGAATCACAGAACTGCAGGGCTTTGCAAGGGACATCAAAAGGTCATAGAGTCCAACCTCCCCTAATGCAATCAATTTGTGCTTATGCATCAGCTTCTCAAATCACTGGTAATCAAGGCTGCACAAGCATTATCTCTTCATAGTTAACAAACTACAAGCCTACTATCAGTTCATAAGAGAACATCTGTTAGACTGAAGGAGAAACTGTTTTAGATTTCAGGAAATCACACTATCTATTTTGAATAATTGTTAGGAAAAAGAAGCTTAAGATGGTTCAAATTCACCCTTGAAGCATGAAAAACCATTTGCAATTCAAATTCATGTGAAAATACATACTACAGCATGTTCAGAAGCAAATGCCTAAAAATGGGGTATGTATTAGCCCAATTACAGCTCCTATGCAAACTGTAACTTGAAGACAGTTACGCTTTTTTGAACACATGAAATGTATTTACTATTCCTATTGAAAAGGATGAGCCTTGAATTTAAACATATTAAAAATTATTCTGACGGATACCATTTTTGTAACAATGTGAATTCTGAGACAAAGGGTAGAGCATGTCAGATATAAAAGGTAGAACCAGCTGATGTCAATACACCTGTGATGTCCAGGATGTTGACACACTGCCCCAGGAGATTATTATGCTGTTGAGAAAAATAAATAGAATCTTAATTACTATCCAGATGATGACTGTGCTGTTAAGCTTGTTTTCATAGAATGACCCACAGCTACAGAATTCAACTGGTGAGGAGATGTAGCAGGGATTGCCCCAGACACAGGGCCTGTAAGTGAGAATGGCCTCTGTCAGTTTCACCTTGTGTAAGCTACAGGGATTCAGTAATGCAAGCAGAGAGAATCAGCAGCCACAACTGATGATTTCAGTCTACTTTTAAGAAATGCTCTTCCTCTTACGTCTTGTGTAGAATTATTTCTGATCAGATCTAAGCTCAGAACTTCTAATGCTTTTTTAATGTAGGTATGGGACTGTTCTCAAGAGAAAGCTGAGATTAATGCCCGAGTTACTCAGAGCTGTCCCAAAGCCTTCCAAATGCCACTCTCCACAAAAACAGCAATCCTATTCACCTCTCTTTGTAGGAAAGCACTGCCTCCAGCCAGCTTTCCGATTAGGAGGGGAGATGGAATATAAAATAAATAGGCTGTATTTTGGCCTGCTTTTAAACTCAGGCGTTTTTATTTTTCCTTTCGAAATACTTGTCTTGAGACTCTGCAGAGTTGCATTACAAAGGGAGAAAAGCACAAACAATCCTCGCGCATCTGGACTGGCTGTCCATTCTCATTGCATCTGCCGAGGAACGTTTAAAATGGAAGCCGCAGGGGAACGACCGCACAGCGCGAGCTCTCCCAGCAAAGATCGTTTCCAATGGATCTCTGCGCTCTCTGCTCCACCAAAGGAGGCTCTCCCAGCCCACGTGCCGCTCCGAGAGCTCGCGGCCGCGGAATGACGGGCAGAAGCACGGAGTCAGGTGGCCAACCAAACCCCGCACCGACTGCGGGCACTCCAATCACCGCCCGCTTCGCTGCGGCAGGGTTGACGTGGAGCGACACGGGCAAAGCGAGCGAGCGAGGCGGCTTTTCGGTATTTCTAACGCAAACGAGAGCACAAAAGATTCCCCCTCCAGTCCCGTCCCGTCCCGCCCCGCGCCGAGCGCTCGTCCTGACGTGGCCGCGCCGCCGCCGCCCCAACCCCCGTCCCCATCCGCCCCCAGCTCCGCACCCCGCACCCGGAGCATCTCCTCTCCGCCCGTCCGCCCCGCACCTACTCTTGGCCTGGCTGAGGTGCAGCGAGTGGTCGGTGACGGGCACTCTGGCCGCCTCCCCGGGGTAGACCTGTCCCCCCGCGTAGTAGTGGCACTGCTCGTCCCCGCGCTGTCGCGGCGGCCGAGGCTCCTCCGCCTCCGCCCCCATCGCCCCGTGCAGCAGCAAGGCCAGAAGCAACGCGCGGCTCCCGACCCCCGCCCGCGGCCCCCGCCGAGCCGCCTCCATGGCCCGCCGAGTGAGTGCACGTCCCCGCCGCGCGGCGCGGAGGGGCGGTGGCTGGGAGGAGCTTGGCCGCCCTGCGGCGCGGGCAGGGCTCCGGCATGGCCTCACGGCGCCGCGCCGCCAGGGGGAGCGGCTCCGGCCCGAAGTGGCGGCTGCTTGAGCCCCGGGGAGAGCGGGACGTCTTGTGCTTCCCTGGACGGAAAGAGGAGTGGTATTTGTGGAAGGAGAGCGTGCGTGCGGTGCGTGATTGCTGAAGGGAGCTGTACCGCTGTGTCACGTTTCCCATCTGATGGTTCTCATCTGTGGCAATGTGGGCATTTCATCGTGTGCGGTTTTACCAGTCTGTACTGGCTTGGAGCTTTTGTGTTCTGCACTAATAGATGTAGTCAGTTTAGAACAACATGCTGGTTTTTGGTTCAGATTCCTGAGTAGGTACCACGTGTGCAGCAGTTCATGGCAGATTAATGGATGAGCGCTGTGACCAACTGTAGGGAGCCTGCTTTAGCTGGGGGTGGACTTGGGGATCCTCAGAGGTCCCTGCTAACCCCTATGATCCTATAGGTCTATAATTCCAGGCTGCCCAGTGCAGTGAGCACAGCACCAAGCTGCTGGAGTCCAGGGAGCATTTGGACAGCACTCTCAGGCATAGGGTTTGGATTTTGGGCGGTACTGTGTGGAACCAGGAGCTGGACTCAGTGATCCTTGTGGGTCTCTTCCAACTTGGGGTGTTCTACGGCTCCATGACAAGCAGTAGGTCACAGCAGCACAGTGTCTGGCTGCCCTGGGCTATGCTGAGCCTTCAGTGTGCTATGTCAAGTGGGTCAGTTAGATTGTAACTGGGGCCCTTGGAAATGAAGGTGTGAGAGAGCTGAAGCTATGCCTCCTCCAAAATGGGGACATCAGTAACCTTTTGCTCTCGGAGCACCATGGATGCCATCCCCTGGAGAAATTGGTAGTTCAGGATCTTGCAGGGGAACATCTGCATCACATCCCATCTCTACCTATGATAGACACACCTCCAGAATGGTGCATAGGTTTGGTGGATAGGTTTGATGTTCCCTCACACTGTTTTTTCGCAGTGAGTTGGTGGTGTCAGCATCTGATGATATCTCCTAAAATGTTGGAAGCAGGATAAAATCTGATCTTCAGTTTAATGCTGCTATTTAAGTTTCACTTTCCTCCTCTATCAAGAACGAGTCATTAAAGGGAATATGGACAAAACCCATTTGCTCATGCAAAGTGTTAGGCACTCTGGCCCCAGTGATAAAAAGCACTTAATGAGTCTTTGTACTCCCATCCATCTTGAGTTCAGGTGCACCTTATGGTTAATGTTGCTAAAATGTGGTGATTGATAGAGTACTGTCTTATATGATCCAGCTCTAGTAGTACTGAATTTAACACCACGTCTTCCTAAATCTCCCTGCTTGTAAGGAAGGACAGCTATGGCCTCCACGCATGCTCAGAAAGTTATTTTAATTGTGCTACTCTTCTCGTTTTGCTGGTATTCTGAACCATAAGAAAGAGTGGTCATTGGAAGAATAGTCATTAAGTAAGGTGGAAAAAAATGGAGAGGTTGAAGGGTATACACTTTGCTTAGTGTTAACATCCCACAGTCAATAAAACTTCCCAAATACCAATGAATGAGAGAGAAAACCAGTAAAAATAATGCTCGAAAATAAAAAGGAATTGAACGACTTGTGAATGAAGAAAATGATGAAGGACAGCGGGTTTGATCTGCAGGATATTATATTAACACTAATTTGAGAGTCATGCGTAATTATGTATTTGTAGATGTTTCCAGAGTTCAAAATATCAGAAAGAAAGACTGTCTGGTTCTTGTACTATGATGATTTCTGGATGTCATTAAAACAGGAAAAATTTTGTAGATTAAATCCATGATGAAATCCAAATATATATCATTCAGTGTTCAAATGGAGAACACTGAATTGAGAGTGGTGACACACTGGAACAGGTTGCCCAAGGAGGCTGTGGATGCCCCATCCCTGGAGGCATTCAAGGCCAGGCTGGATGTGGCTCTGGCAGCCTGGTCTGGTGATTGGTGACCCTGGCACATAGCAGGGGGGTTGAAACTGGATGATCATTGTGGTCCTTTTCAACCATTCTGTGATTCTACGATAACACTGGCACCCTTCTCTCTTTGTCCAGTGATGGGCCCAAAGATTGATTTTTGTGTTTGAATTGCTGAAATTAGTTATACTGTTAATATAAAACAGTGGAAATACTGTGTTACATTGATCACTCTACTGAATATCATCCATTTGTACAGCTCTTCTGAAGTAGGTAGGGTTTACCATGTGTGAAGTGAAAGCTTGCTTATAAATCCTTCCTTTTATCAGATGCGTGAAAGGCTATGTTACTACAAGCTGTGCTGCAATTGAGCCCTGTTACGATTCAGTTTGAGTTATAGAATCAAAGAATGGCTGGGGATGGAAGGGTCCTTAAAACCCATCTAATTCCAACCCCCTAGCCTAGTTCAGGCTGCCCAAGGCCCCATTCAACCTGGCTTTGAATGCTTCCAGGGATGGGGCATCCACAGCTTCACTGGGCAGCCCATTCCACCGCCCTCTTTGGGCAACTGCTTGTTTCTGTCAAGGTGTCACTGCTACAAGTAGCCTAAAAATGGTTGTACACGTTCTGTCTGCTCATTTGTTGTTTAAAAAAAAAAAAACAAAACACCTCATCTTGCTAGAAAAGAAAAGAAAGAAAATATATAATGGAAAATATAGCAGAGCATACTGCAGTGAGATGCCAATCACCACTTCCATGAACAGATGCACCAGATGTTCAACATCGTGCAGGTGAAACTAGCAGTTGGTTTTGTCCTTGTCATAGCTTACATGGACATTTTAATAAATACTTTGTCTTGCTTGCCAAAAATTTATAGTGTAGAAAACTTTGCTGGAGAAAGGACGGTGGAAAATAACTGTTTTGTAAGTGATCACTGTTAAAATCACCAATTAGAGAAATGTTTTCCTTGTTGGCTCCTGATAAGGCAAGGCTGGTGGGACCAGCTGTGTGTCTGCTGACAAGGTCATTCTGACTCCTAACTGCAGCTGTGAGTGGCACTGCTGAAGCAATAGGGCTGGTTAAATGCAAACAGCAGCTTTCTAAAGTCCGTCGCTAGGTGGTGGAGTGGCATAAAAGCTATACTTATTCCTGTAGCCTACCTTTGGGGAATGCATTGGTGTTTGGGGATGAACTGGTGTTTTTCCTCTGCAAACACAGCTGCCAAGGAAAGCTGTGCTTAATTTATTTCCCTTTCTCCTCCTTGTGAGTGTACTGCAGCCAGCTCTATTTCCTTGCAGCATCAGTGTCAGGAACCCTGAGGGGCTTGTGTGATAGATACAGCACTAAGCATGTTATTAATGTGTTTGACCGGGCATGACAAAAAAGAGCACTCGATATTTTTAGTCAAGGGAATACATGTTGGTAAAGTGCCATCCGGTCAAAGCTCTCTTTTACCTGTGTAAGGGCTGACAGGATCTACAAAGTGGTGAATACAAACAAGTCCTGCAAAACTGTCTCCTTGACCTAACAGATAATGTTGTCCTTGCAGGGCCCTGTCAGTTCTGCTTTGGCTGTCACCTTGCAGGTGTGTACAAATATGTTCACTCTGTATTTCAATTCTCGTTGTGTTAAAAAGCAAGTATTAAAGTGCCCCCCGTTTCTCTGAGAATTAGTGCCATGTTTGGACAGTGAGGACAGAGAATATCAGCACTGAACAGTAGCTGTTAGATGTTCATCATCTACTATCATCATCATGAACTATATTTGCACCTCACCTCAATAGCAATGCAGACATCAAGACCTAACCCAAGACCAGCACAGCTGGGAGCCTGTGAGCAAGGCCGGCCCAACTACCTGCACTGAGCCTGCAGAAGGGAGGTTATCGCGTCGCCACAGAGTGATAAGCACAGCTATGTCAAGTTCAGTGATCCCTGTCGGTGTCCTTTGCAGTGGTTCATCTGCCCTTTTGGGGTCCTGACCTCGGTTCTGCCTCCTCAGGCCGGCAATCAAGCCCACGACATGAAACCCATCAAGGCATGCAGAGAAGAGGATGTGACATTTCCATGAGACAGGGATAGTGCTTTGGCAGGGGGGCTGGACTTGATGATCTCTAGATGTCCCTTCCAACCCCTACAGTTCTGTGATTCTGTGGTAATTTGGTCTTAAATAATTTCCAGCTCCTCTCCTGCTGGGAGCCTGCCTGCTCCTCCTCTCTCCTGGTTGAAAAACAAAGCCTTTTTGTGTTGTTAACTTCCTAGTTGTTCAATATCTAATTTTGCCTTTCTGATTTATGTGGACACATGAAAGTGAAAAACTGTGTTTGACCAGAAACACACCCCTTAATGTGTTGGTCTGTTTTACATTGCTCACTAGGTGGCAGTAAAATGTTGTTCTTCCAATGAAAACAGAGGAAGTTGGGCATTCTGCAATTGCTTGTAAGTCCTCAAATCTTTTTTTATTCTTTCTAGAATATGAAATCTACAGATGTTATAACATCTCTGAGAGGAAAAAACTGGGAGTCTAAGGTGTTTTCACTCCATTTACAATTACTGTAAATTCTAATGGTATTCTATTACCATTCTAATGTTAATATTCTCATCTGTTCCAGTTCCAATCTTGCGTACATTTCAGAGATCCAGCTGAAAATTCTTAGTGTAATCACAAAATCATAGAATTGCTGAGGTTGGAAAAGACCACTAAGATCATCTAGCCCCACCATCAGTCCATCCACACCATGCCCACTACTCATGTCCCTCAGTGCCACATCTGCCTATTACTTGAACACTCCAGGGCTGGTGACTCCACCGCCTCCCAGGGCAACCTGTGCCACTGCCTTACCACTCTTTGAGAAGAAGTATTTCCTCGTATCCAACCTGAACCTCCCCTGGTGCAATTTAAGGCCATTACCTCTTGTCCTGTCAAATGTTAGAAGTTAGATATTTTCTTGCTAAAGAAAATTTCTTTATTATTGGAAATGATATAATATACTGTAGGGATCTCAA